AATACACTGAGTACTAGCTGATCAGGAGAAATAATGCAGAAGAGTTGGAGTCTTGGTTCTGGCTGTCTTAAGTGAACAAGATCCTATGGCTGCAGTGTGTTGTGAACCAGGTAAACCAGTGGGAGTTGTCATCCAAAGTTTGTAGAACGTCGATGATGGCAGTGTGCTTCTAAAAGAAGATCTGTGACAGGTGGCTGTCTTGGTCACGCTGTTCCTAATACTGGACATCAGTGTATCCCTCTCATTGAAATCAGAAAGCATTTCGTGTGCATATTCCTGGGACCGTCTAACCTGTTATTTTGACACTTGCTCCTTTATAGCATTAAGGAAGACATTGTCAGAGGTAAACAGCCTACCTGTGTGCTACACCTGTCTGGCTTCATGCATGTCAATATGGTTCCTTCCCTAAAGCAAACTAGGTGGAAGTATAACCATTTCTCTCTTTTGGGAGGCTCACTGGAAAGGTCTTAATGCACCACAGATGCCTTTCAAGGAACACACCAGCAAAAACACAGCTTATGTTCTGCCAGCAGAAGTCAGGCTGAATCTAGTCTCTAGTGTGTAGAATGTAAGGTAAACACTTGGAAAGGAGAAAAACCTGCTTCTTTAAGCCAAAGTGCTATCTTCTAGATCTGCATGCCTGGGCTATCTGCCCTGTGTTGAATGATATTGAACTATCCAGTTCAAGCAATGGTTTGCTCTTAAGTTTTTACTGGGAGGTAAAATCATGTTTGTGACATACCTTACACACAGCTTAGTGTCTATGCTTTTAAAACACTGCAGGCTTTTTCTGGCCTTGCACATCTTGCTTCATAGCCACCCTTTTGAACTTGCTTCTTTTGACTACCATAATCATTTGATGACTCAAGTATAATTATATTAGGTCAAGCAAAAAATTTGCTTTACTTGATACCCTCCCCGACAGTGACTAGCAAGAAGCAAGCATGCAGTGATGCTTCCCTGAGCATACCTTTCCTCCTTCCAGCAGTCTGAAGCTTACAGCCTTCCCATGCTTAATGGTTCTGCCTGCCTCTCTGTGTTTTGGCCTTTGTTTTTTCCTCAGTAAACCTGTCTAATTTTTAATCCTCTTGTGACAATGAGCTACCAGCATGTAGTAAACAGCACCCTTTCTTTTTCTTGCGTTTAAAGCTATTTATATAATCACTACCTCTTGTGGTGTCTGCTGTTTAACATGAGCCATTCCTGTCACTTCCCAGTGTGTATCTTTTGATCTCCAAAGATGGGAGGAAGACCTGTTGCTTGATGCTGTTTGCTAACTTCTTCCACTCCTTTTAAGGTTGCTTCACTCTGCTGGTCAGGTTAAAGCCCTGTTTAAAAAAAAGAGATGTTTGATTTTTTGATACTGTATGGTATGTATAATTTGCAAGACACAAATGTTGTGCCTCATGGCAAAATGTCTTTGCTAAACTGCTATAATTGCATGCTCTTGTTGCCAAATGACCTGACAGTTCATATCTTTTGATTCCTTCTGTGTGGGAATGCTGCTGATTTCTCTGGCATTAGTAGGTGAGCGGGACTCAAGAGTATTCAGGGATGTGCTTTCCGTCATAGGATATGGAGTCGTTCTGGGTAGCTGAATGTTTCAGTGTGCCAAAGCTGGAAGGAAAGACCTTTTGGACAGGGCTGGTACTTGCATTGCAGAATGGTGGCATTTGGCTTTCTGTGCTGGTGGGGATGAGCTTGTCCTTTTGGCTCACTCTCAACTGGTATTGCCCTACCCCTCCCTGCACCCTGTCCCCTGCCAGCCCTTTCCAAGGGAGCCAGGAGCTGGTTACCTGCAGAGGCTCTGATTCAAGCAAGCATGTAAATACACGCTTGAATCCCATTGACGTTAGTGAGACTTCAGCATGTTATTAAAGTTAAACATGCACTTAAGGGGTTTGCCGAAGTGTGGCTTAGATGCAGATGCTGTCTGCCAGATGTGCTCTTGGAAGTCTCCCTGGTGTTGTCACATTTACAAGCTAACACCGGTGGGAAGCCTGCTGCACACGTGCAATATGTCCATCTGTCTCCAGAGGGAAGGCGCTTCAGGGAGAAGGGGTGTGAAGTACCTGACTTCTGTGCAAACGTGCCAGATCCTTGCTAGAAATGGGCAGCTTTGCTGGAAGGAGGACTTGCAGGGGCATGAGTAAATCCTGCACCTTCATAACTTTTCTTGCTGACCTTATGATGTGCAAAATACGTGTGACCTTTGTTGATACTTTATCTCTGGTTTGCTTTGTGAAAAATTTCAGCTGTATTTTAACCCCTTGTCTTTGGAATTGGTAACACTCTTTTTAAAAAAGGTTTTGTCTCATACCTGCAACTTAATGTGCATGGTAGACTTTATACACACAAGATGTGGAGCTGAAATGCTGATAGAATTACTCATTGAATGTTTTACCTACTGCAGTACTGTTTAAAGTTTACAGTAGTGTGTCTGAAATCATAGTCTGACTGTGGGTGCCTACTAAAATATTGCTACTTTCTTATCAAGTAGATTCCAGGAGGATTTAAGGTTAATTTTTTTTTTCTAATTAAGTTGTGAAATACTCAAACTTTTCTTTCTCAGAGTGCCTGTGAAAACATTAACAGTATTTGGAGTTGTTGCAAATCAAAATCCCAAGCAGCCTGTGTCCAAATAGTTATATTTAGTGGGGTTTTTTTAGCTAGTGACTTGCTTGTGAGCATTGTTGATTACAAGATATCTGGGCTCTCTAAGTCCACTGCATTGTTTGTGGAAAGCTTGATGGTAGCAGTATTTCAACACTGGGAAAGCCGATGTCAGAAACTGCAGTGCCAAGAAGTTAATTTCTTTGAAGGAGACCTCCTGCGAGCTCCTGACTTCATTCACTCCAGCAATTCAACGCTGTGGTACCAAAGCATGGCATTAGGTTTCCCATAAGTACTCGGGTGTTTCTCTCTGTTCCTGGCAAAATTACATAGTGCTTCCTTCTAAGCTAGGACTGGCTTACATGGAGAGATATTAACTTCTATGCACCTCATGTGTGAAACTGAAGAGGAATTTGCAAGGTCTCAGATCTACTTCACCATCTTGCTTGTTACCTTGCCTGCACACAGTGTTTGTGCTATGTGAAGTATCTGAAATCACTTTCACTGTTGGGTTTGCTTTAGAGGATGGCAAGAGCCAAATGGATGAGTTTTGTTATTTCCTGGGTATTCAAGTGTCTCGTAGCCATTCCTGTTTCAGGGAGGTAGCTGTCAGCATGAGTGGAAAATGAATGACAGTGGCGTGGCCATGATGCTAGAACTGTGAGTGAAGCAGACTTTGCAGATGGAGATGATATTTTTCTGATCACTATTCACTGCTGCTATGTTAAAAATCAATTAATCCTTTCTGGAAAATGTTTTATTGTCCAGGCAGGGAGGCATTCTTGTCCTAGTAATGATGGAGACAGACTTCCAAATACTCCTAATTCGTGCATTGTCCACAGTAGGTAGTTAAAAGTAATGAAAGCTCACCTTCTTTTAAGGCTTTGATAGAGTCCATAGGTTGCCTTAGTCAAATAGAAATCCCAGAGTTTGATACCATGACAGCGTGTGGAAGAAGGAGAATCCAGCAGTTTTGGCTTCAGACCGAGTGATGGGAAACCTGTGGTTTTGATTTATTTGCTTTTTTGTGGATTGCCTGGGACAAATTTCCTAGTGCTGGTTTTGAAGTATCGACTTCAGACAACCCCAACTAGTTCAGCTTAGGGTAGATTGGAGAACTGGTACTGGGCGTCTGAGCTTCCCACACAGGCAAGAAAGAGGGGGGTGCCTTCAAAGGCTGCATTAGCACCCCTGGGCTCAATTAGGGGCTGCCTGGGGCTTAGCTGGGAGATCCTAAGTGTGAGGATTTGTGAATGCTTCTTTCTTAGAGTAGAGACGTTGGATTTAAGTCTGTCCACTGGGGCATCTCTGTCCACTCATGATTTATCCTCCCTTAAAAGTAAGCCCTGAGAAGAGGGGAGTGAGAAAAGATGAGCAAAAGCATCCTCCATGTTTTGTACTGAAACAAGAATGTGGGGAGCGAAGAGTGTGTGATTTGGGGCCGTGAAGGGTGCAGCCATGAGAAAGCTTAATTTTGTTGCCTGGTGATTAGCCCAGACACTTGAAAAAAAACCTGCCTTCCCATCCTGTTTCTTTACCCAATTACTGCAGAATGTAAAATGAGTAAACTCTCATGGGAGGAGAGACCATAATTGGGTCTTTCCTCTTTCAGCTAGCTGCCCTATCTGCTGGGGAAGGGTGTGAAAGCTGTGCATTTGCCTTCCCTCAGGCTAAGAGTGGAACCGAATTTGGGATCTCACTTGTTTTGTGTGACTGCTTTACAGTATGGGCTAGTTGCAAAAGGTGTGTGCTATCACTGTTTCCACTTGTTCCTCCTGTGTTTTATGGTGATCCCAGTGCTGTGTTAATGGGTTAGGTGTGCTGAGAGCACAGCTGCCTGGTCAGGGACACTCTAAAGCCTCTTCGTGTCTGTAGCCTGGGTTTGGTTACAGCATGGTTTAGCTGGGAAATGGCAGGACACATCTGTGTAGGCATAGGTGTCCCAGCTTGGGCACCCAAGCACTCGGCAGGTGAGATAAATACTAAAAGGTGCAACGGTGTCATTCGTTTTCCCCAGGATGGAACACTGTTAAGATTTGGATGGTGTACAGGGTGCTGGGCTGTCTTGTCTAGACTGTGCTTTTGCCAAAAATGTCGTCCTCTCACTTCTGGGATGGGAGTGCCTACCTGTCTTGGGTGACAGGTGACTCTTTCAAACTAGCCCCATCTTTGACACAATTACATTAGGCAGGATGAACTTCTTACCCCTGGCTGGAACAAAGATGTCACTGGAGGTGAAGGGTGTGAGTTCTTGGAGCCAGCCACCTCTCCACAGAGCTTCCTAATGAACATCCCCAAGCATTTCCTGGCAGTCATTCCTAGTATGCACCAGTGGTTTTAGATGTGACATTTGACCTCATTAACATAAGATTTTGCTTTCTTGCCAGGTCGTCAGAGCTGCTGAAGAAGCTGCTTCCACCCTGGCAAGTTCCATCCACCCTGAGCAATGCATCAAGGTGCTTTGCCCCATCATTCAGACCGCAGATTATCCAATTAACTTGGCTGCCATCAAAATGCAGACAAAGGTCATTGAGAGGATTTCCAAGGAATCATTGCATCAGCTCCTTCCTGATATCATTCCTGGGTTGTTACAGGTACAGAATCCCTTGTCACAAATATTCCTGAGCACAAACCAGCATTGAGTAATTTGTGAGGTCTGTCTCACAAGAGAATGATGGACCCTCTGGGGCCAGATTTCGGTAAATTTAAGTTTTAATACCTCTAAACTTTTATATTTGAGCTTTTGATGGTGTTAATGTTAAGGAAAAGGAAACTAGGATTCCTGTGTGTATGTTCCACAATTACATGCCTTGGCTTGACTCCTAAATAAGCCAGTAGCAGCCATGTGATAAATTTGAGCATAGGAGTTAGCCACATCTTACTTTGTCTCAGTAGCTTGCAAGCAATACATCTTGCAGTCTCCTCTAATTCTGCTGAGCTGTTCTGTGCTTTGATTTTACTTTGCACTTGAATTTGAATCCCAGTAGGCAGGCTAGTCCTTTCCTCTCTGAAATCAGGACCAAACTACTTGCTGTTTTCATCCAGCCTCTTTCATAACCCTCTCAGGCTGGGTGGGGAGCTGTGTTTTTGCCAGTGCCAAGGCCTGGTCTTACATTGTGAATTTAGTTTTCAGTGCTGGCTGTAGTGGTGGTGTCTCCTGTGCCCCAGCACAAGCAGCTGACAGTGCCAGCAGCTGGGATGAGGCTACCAGCAAGAAGGAAATAAGGAGAGGTAGCAGTGAGGGAGGAGAGAGGATGCACATGTGTTTACTGGGAAGAGATTGCAGCAGGAGCAAATCCCTCAGTGTGGAAGGAGAGACATGGTTGGGTGAGTAGGACTTCAGTGGAGAACTGGAATAAAGAAGCCTCCTCATTGTGAGCATAAAAAGTTGGAAGGACGAGAGCAAAGTCAGAAATTCTCCTTGTGCATCCTAGCATTTGTCCCAACTTTGTAGTGTCAGCTGTTGCAATTCTTTTCTTAAATCTCAGCCTCTGGGAATCACACAATTCTGTATTGATTTAAACTTTTGTTGTAAAAAAAGTTTTGGCAATGACAATCTGGACTGTGTAGATTCAGTGCACCAGAAAAGCTGGGCAGCAGCATGCCTTTAAAAATGCAGTTATTTTATTAAATTGCTACCATGTCTTAAAATGGGCCTTGTTTCGGAGCCTAGTTTGCCATTTTTCATCTTGGAGCTGCCAGTGATATTTCCTCACCTTAGGAACTCATAGGGATCAAAGAAACCTACTCATGTTTGAGACGTATTTTGGGATCCTTCTGTCTGCAGTACTGTGTGTGGAGGGAATCACCCATGTGCTTGTTTACCATGCCAGGGGCACTGGCAGAGTGTTGAGTAGGCGAGGAGTGTCAGATGGCAGCAATGTGAACACAAGTGTGCAGTTCAGCAACCTGGATTGGGATTCCCGTGAGCAGATGGGGATCTTCATGCAAGACCAGGGTTTGGCTGGGGAGTCATGCTGCTTGCTCTGGTTTCCTTATGATGAGGGAAAATGGAGCTGAGCTGTGGGACACTCTCCCACGTGCCGCATCTCTGCACCCTCAGGCTGAAGAGAGCTTTGAACCTGTGTCATCTCCCAAGCAAATACTCTAACTGTTGGGCTGTTTTATTAAATGCAGAAGGCAGTTGCTGCCTTGCAAGGAAGTTGGTGGATGCAGAGATGTGGTGGTGGTCCTGTGGGCACATGTGGAGCAAGCTCTACCAGCCCAGATCCCACCAGGACTCAGGCCCGTCAGGCATCTGCACTGCACGGACCTGCCTGCCCTGACGAGAACAACTTAGGATGCACACATAAGCAAAATGCCAGGCCCATAGGGAAGCTTGAGGGCAAACAGATGCATCTGATGAGTTCAGAGGCCTTTGTGTTGAGACCCACATTGCTTTGTGTCCCAGCGATTCTCTCAGCAGTGGGCTGTGTCTGCATGGATGCTCGTCTGCTGTGGGTGTGGGCTCAGCCTTTTTTCCACCTCAGTCATCAACAGCTTGATGTTTCTCTGAGCACACCTAGGTCTCTTGCTTTTCTAGTTCAGCCCTCCTTGGGATTGCAGACTGTCATTTGGGCTGTGGTTTGGTCCTGCAGCTAGAACGTCAGCCCGGCAGCCCTGGTCGCACCACATCCCTCCTCCCGCTTTCCCGGCAGAGGTCACCCTGCATCCAGAGGAGCCAGCGTCCCGCAGGCTGAGGCAGTGATGTCCAATTTCTCCTGGGATGGCTGCTTAGTGATGAATTATTGCCTGAGTACAGGACTGATGTCACCAGCTGCTGAGTGACCTGGTGGCTAGTTTGAGCTCTGCTGAAACTGCCAGGGAAGCGGCACACCTACATAGAGCTTTCAACAAGTTTTTTTTTCTGTGGTATTTCCTACCTGATAGGTAATTAAAAAGCTGTAGCTTACAGAGGCAGTTCATCTAATGGACTAGCACATGTGTGTAACACTGTTACAGTGTTTAAGCCCAGTGTGTTTAAAGTGTTGGAAAACATCCACGATGACTCTAGCTTTTGCAGTTTCTAAAGCTCAGATAGAGCTATTCTGCCCAAAGAGGTATTTGGGTAGTGTTCACAAAACAGGATTCTGGTTTTCATGTTGAGAGTGATCAAACCGTCAGACTGTTTTGCTGCAAAATTAATCTCTATCTGTAACTGTCCTCTCAGGAGCAGAATTAGTTTCCTTTGGGTTAGATCAGGGTCAGGAGAGACTCCTGACCATCTAGGATAATGTATGGTCATCTGAACTGCACAGAGGAGTGTGTATACTTGAGTC